TGTATAACAAAAACTCGCGCGAATGCGCGGGTCAATTTTTTTTGTAGCAATGCTTACGAATTTGTAGCAAATTCACGGTTCACGGGCGTAGCTATGTTGATTTTGTAGCAAATTGTAGCCAATTTGCCACAAATTTTCACACACTTATTTTGTCACAATAATTTGTTACAAATCTTTGTTACAAAGAATCTGTGATAATTTGATACAAAATACCATAAAAGCATTGAAGCAACAAAGCCACAAATTGCTACAAACATTTTGAATCTAAGACCACTTCCACAAATTGCTTCAAACTTTTCGTTACCATTGCCACAAATTGCTTCAAACATTTCGTTACCACTGCCACAAATTGCTTCAAACATTTCGAATCTAAGATGCTACAAATTGTTGGTGGCTAAGCTGTGGTTTTTTATTAAAAGAAAATTGTTATATTATAAAATTAATACAATTATATTTTTAAAAAATATAAAACAATAATAAAAAGGAAAATGAAATATAAAATGTGAAAATATATACATATCATAAATATAACAAATCATCACACAAATCCATATTTCTAATCACCTAATTTCCAAAATTCTAATCAAATAATCTCTAAAATTCATAAGCCTAACTTCTATTCTTAAAGACTAACTTCAATGGTATGGATGCTAGGTCGTGGCTCGTGATATTTGACAGTCCATGTAGATGAGGCGAACTGGGTGGTAAGAAAAAAGCTCACATCATGAAAAATAAATTGAAAGATCAAAANTATTAGAAAAAGATTGTTCACGTGTGCTCCATGAACGAGCATGTTCATTTGCATTTGCTGACGCAGTTGAAGATGCAGGTGTAGCAGTCGGTGTGTCATATTGCAAAGTCAGCATAGGCTCCACAACAAAATGGTCATTTCCGTATAAGCACTCATATTTGAACTATATAAATCCATTTCATCATAGACGAGTATACCTTATTAGAAGCTCAAGTTAAAACAACTGCAAATACGGAGGATCTAACACACCATGACCTACCTCAACTACAAAGAACAAGCCCAGATGCGCCCATCCCACCAGAAAAGAAACGTAGAAGTAGACCTCCACTAAAGAATAGGGGAACCTATAGCCCTCAGCTTCTACCTGGAGCTAACTCAAGGAAAATAAACATCTCTAACATCCAAAAATCTCCAAAAAGAAAGACAAATGTGTCACAAGCCAACCACATGACTGGCGGCACCCCCAACAGAGCTATGATAGCTTCATCTTCCCATACAGGTCATCCACAACAAGAGGTTAATACTACATCGAGTAATCAACAAATGCAAAAACTGGTTATCATCCCAGCTATTCAGAAAGCT